CCCCTACCCCAACCTTATTGTAAAATAGAGGAAGAGGACACATCAGCATTAGAAGATCTGAAGTTATTTCCACTTTGAAAACTCTATGGCGTAGTGTGAGTGTGACAGCTAAAGACAGGACAAAGATCAACACCACAGTACCCTTTATCGATAGCAGACACATTAAGAAGCCTTGATTTAAGCTAATAGGAAAACCACAAGCAAACTCTGGACTGAAAGGCACACTTGGGAGGGTACATACAGGAAAAAGGCAGTAAGACCTTTTGCATTCAGTACATGATCAAATGAGCACACTTCACAAAAAGTGATAGCAGCCATACCTGGTCTGTTTTGGCATCTCCATTTTCTGCAGGGTTATTCCCATCCTTGCCAGCATCGGCTTTCCCCTTTTTCCCTTTGGGTACCTTCTCTCCCTTCTAAAAAGAAGGAAGGAAAAAAAAGTTGTTTCTCCTAATTTCCTATTACCAGGGTATGGTCTACAAATTTCTGCACAAGGAAGGATTTTATCAAAGATAAAACACAAACTATAAACACTCTCCCCCACTGATAGAACAACTGATCAGAACTAGGCCAAATTATCTATAATTCACTGTGCTCATCAGTATACAAAGTTTTCATGAGTGTAAATAATGGGAGAATAAGAGCTTAAAACTTGGGTGTTTAATAACCACGTGCAGTTTTCTGTAAACTGAGAGTTGAGAAACCAGTATATAAATCTCAGGGATAAGGCAAGCTATCAAAACAATTTAGAATATCCATTAATGGAGTCACCACTATATTGAATTAAAGATACTGAAGGAGAGTCCTAACTTTGTGGAAATGACCAATTAGAACATTATTATAACTAGAAATATCTTGTTTCCCAGTCCCACTCACCTTTGCAGGGGCCTTTTTAGGCTTGGGTTCTGGCTTTGGAGGAGCAGGTTTCTATTTGAGAGAGAGAAGGGAAGAAAACATTAGCACAATGGACCAATGAAAAGAACCCACCAACCGAAGTACCACTGGCATATAAGTTTTTCCTACTTTATAAAGATCTTGTGGCTGACTTCCCATTAGAACTTCCTATCTTCAGAAACTCACTCACATAACACTCTAAAGTGTTCTCCTTTAGCTATAACCTACCAGAATTTCAGAACCAACAAATCTCAAATGGGTGAGTCCACAGTGGGGAAGCTCATTAAAACCAGTGGCTGACCATAGTTTATGGGAGGCAGAGGAGACTGTTTTTCAATGCTTTTTAATTTCAGGAATAAATGTGAAAATTTAAAAGCAGATACTTACAGCAGATAGCCTTGCTGATCTTCTCTGTGGCTATTTAAAAAAAAGAGAAAGTTAGAAAAATAGAATAGTTTAACCACTTAAACAAAACAAAGTTTTGGTGCCAATCTGTTCTAGACTATAGGAAGTGAAGAGAGTTGAAAGTTAATAGGCAAATTCGGGACTACAGGGTATGGCTGGCTAATTACCACCAAAGCAGCCCAAAGCTCTATAAGACTACACAAAAAAAAATAAACAAGACTTACTTCGTCCTTCACCTTGGCTTTATCTCCTTTAGCATCCCCTTCAGCCTATAAGAAACAAAAACTAAGAAATCCGCAGCTTCCGAAACAATATTTAATGATTCACTAAGCTTAAGAGTCCTAAGGAAAACAACCGAAGGGAAGTCAGGAGCACAACTTCTCTAGAACATACAAATCGTTAGTATTTAGCAACCCCAGCTCCTATGCAAATACCCCAAGCGCTTAGAAAGGTGTGTAAGTGCTCATTTGTGTAAGCGCCACGCAAGGAGGGGGGGTGTCAGAGCCCCAACCCGCCGGGAGTGTCAACAGAGCGGCCCCAGAAGTGCGCGCTAAGCTGGGGCGAGGAGCCGGGAGCAGGGCAGCCCGCATCCGCGGCGCCAGGCAGAGGCAACAGCTGCAGCTGGTGCAAACAAACCCCTCCGGAGGCGGGGCCCAAGCGCCGTTACCATGGCAGCCGTCGAGGGCGGGAGACGGGAAGCGCGCGCAGCCCGGGGAAACCGTAGGCGGCAGCGTCGCGCACCGGTGCGAGTCTTGTGCGCGGGGGCCGCGGGCGGAGGCGGGGCACACGGCGAAACCCCGCCCCAAGGGAGACGGGCCCCGCCCCCTCACGGCGGCGGTTTTTTGGCGGCAGTGCGTTCCCCCGCCCGCCAACCCCAAGCGCCGCCTTCCCGCCCTTTCGGGTTTGAATTGCCCGCCCGCGGGGAGGAGAGGGATGGGGGGGGCTGCAGATGGGGGAGGGGGCGCGGGGCGGGCACGTGGGGCCCGAGGGGA